TGAATATAATATACAAGTTTCACTTTTTAAATGGAATTACTGAAATAAATCTACTTTTTCATGATATTCTAATTTTATGACCAGCACCTGTATATTGTTGGAAATTCTAAGCTTTTTCTTCAACTTTTACCTCATCTATCTTTTTTTATTTTATTTTTTTACATGCAGTGGCTCTATATGACCTCGTAAGATAAATAATAACAGAGTAAAACAGCAAAACACAGCCCGAGGTGGCTCTTACCGTTGTACGAGAGGCGTGGCTTGCTTAAACACATGATGAARTGAACCTCCATCTCATTGGACGCCACCGATTTGGAGCAGACAGGACACTTGAATCCTGCGAAGACAAAAACAAGCAGCTTTAGAGCGGCCTGCCTGAGTGACAGCCCGTGTTTCAAAYATTCAAATGAAAAGAGGAAAAGGCTTTTTTTAGATGTCTCTTAAAGAAGACTCTTTAAGATTTCTATTAATGATACACATTCATCTTGTGCTGAGACAATGTGAAGTCCAGGAGTCCTGATGATGAATTAGCCATCAGTAGACCACTTAACTGCTGCTGCTCAGGGCTCCTGAAGCCACTCAGATGCCACACTTTGACAAATTAGCTGTGGGTACCGCTGCCTGACAGAAAGCCCACTGATGTGCTCGTTTTAAAAGCTGAACATGAAGCTTTTTATACTGATGATAGTTTACATCTTTGAAAATAAAGACATTTAGAGAGAAGAAKAATAAGTGGATTCGAATGTGTCCAAGTGGAGCCTGATCTGAAGGTCACTACAAAACAAAACAGACTTTAATTATTTCTTGTGAATCTTATGCTCTTGAATCGTTTCGTGTGCAATTAATCGTCAGAAACTGTCAATTATTTGCCACTTTGCAATTAGCTGTGATGTTGTATTGTTGTGGCACACTCTCACTATCAGGCGTGCATGTGAGTCCGGTCAATGCTAACCCTAACCCTGTGTGTTTAATCACCTGAAACACAGACGTAAACAGGAGCACGAGGAAAGCCAAAATATGTGAACCAAAGCCAAAACGTCAGCTACATGCAAATTCCATTATCACCTAATACATTTTTATACCAATATTGGTCAACCCTAATGTAAACATTCTGGGAAACACAGAAGTAAATCTTGTATTTGATTGGTTTGAATCCATGCATCTCATTAGTTTCTCCGACTTCTATGATTTGACACCAAAGCATCGTCTGTGAACGTTTGTCTCCTTTTTGTCCTCACACAATTTCACGCACACTCCCTGCAAACTCCCTGTTTTATACTGAAGTCGTTTCAGCRGCCTCCTCCTGCTGTTTAAATGAGACCCGTTTGGTCCAACCTTATTAGTTAAATACATAAATAATTACACTGGGCCAGAAGAGGCGGGTTTGCACACAGCAAAAAACTAAACGAACTTCTCTGATTAAAAAATAAATCTAATAAAAAAATGAACCAATAAAAACAGCAGTGAGGCAATTCAGCAAAGATGAGAGTGGTGGTTAACTAAGATTACTGTATTTGTTGTCAAAAACATTTATGAAAGCCTCAGTCATGCAGCAAAGCTACAATCTGATTGTAGATTTTTTTTTAAATGAGATCTGCTCGAAAATTTTTTTAAGAGAACCAACTGCMTAAATCAGAAGTCAGCAGATAAAACCTCTAATGTAATCTATATAACCTCTATAACTGTAGAGGTACAACCATTTACAAATTGTTTGGTTCCAAACGCAGAGGAATTGACTACATCCACCATTACATGGCAGCTGACCCACTTCTCCCCTGGCTGCTATTTTCAGAAGCTCCAAAGGGACGAGCAGAAAGAGACGAAGTAAAAACGAGGAACAGAAGAGATGTATTTTTTTTTTTTTTAGAAGAAGAAGAAATGAAGGGTTACGATGATACACAGTCCAGCAGGAATAATGCTGAGATTCTGCCTTCAGCCCAGTCAGGTACCACAAATCCTCTGGGACGTTTCATATTCGAGGAGCACAGAAGGTCAAATTGAGACAAAAATAAATCAGAGGGCCGGATCGTAAATTAATTATACTGCTGCTTATGTGGGAATGTTCCTGTGAGTGTGCACGGGCCAGTGTTTGGCCKGTGATCCTGTACGCCACGCTCTGAGGATTTGCTTTATGTCAGGCTTTTTTTATTTTTAAATGACTTGTTCTCCTTGTGGACCTCAAGAGATTTCATAAAATGCCACACGGTCTTATGACCCCAAGCTGTGAGGAGAAACTCAGAGCTTTCAGGCTTTCTTGTGTTGAAGTTGTAGCTGTTTYGGTCAAACCTCGAAAATAACACTTCGCACAATCTTGCGTGATATTTCAYGTGGTCTGTTAGTGAAATGATGTCACAGTTCGCAGAGGCCGGACCCAGAAACGCAGACAAAACTTCATGAACTCGGAGAGAAATTTAAGACTTTAATAAAGAAAAAGAAAAAGGCTGGAACCGCTGGAACTAAAGCGATTGTTGTTTTCCTGTCCACCCTCAGGCGTGTCTCATTTTGTTGATGAAAAGCAGTGAATCAAAGTTGTAAAGAAAAGCAGCTCTTTGCTGTGAGAATAAACACAGTTCAGCGAGAACTGGGATCAAAGCTTCAGAACGACTCAAATGTAAAATGTGCTGTTGGGTTTCCACACTGGATTCTCCCACAGCTGTGTTTTTTYCTTTAGTTTCTTTTATTTGCTTTCTGCTGAATGAAGAAGCCCTAAAAGACCACAAATAGTGTCAAATACCTTAAAAACTAATAWTCTGTAGAGCAGTGGTTCCCAACCTTTTTAGACTTGTGAACCTGTTAAACTGTTTACAGCATCATAAAGACAAATTCATGACTGGACATTGATTTTTAAAAAGGTTTTTTCTCTGATTACATGAGAGTTTTGTTACTTTAAAGCAACAAGGTAATAACATATTAATGAGTRTGGTTACTTTGAAGCCAATAGGTAATAATATGAGGTCATAARTCAMTAATAAGTTCATTTTTAATGGTTATTAACCTGGGGAGATARGATAACTCCCCTTTAACAGTTCCCTTGAGACCTATTGTMCAGGTCACTAAATGCCACCTCGGTCACGATAAGRAGTGCACATCCTACGAGCGAGCGGCTACYAGTGAACAGTGGTGACCAGCATCTGGAGGCGTCCTGAGCTACTACGCCGACCCAGAGGCCGGGGTTCGAGAAGGGAGCGACCACTGGAAGAAGGGTAGCTGGAGGCCGACCTAAAGGCTCCCGCCCGATGACTCCCGGAGGAGACATGTCAGACTCGGCCGCACAGGTCACCCCCAGGTGGCTGTAAGTCCGGCCCATCGCCTCCAAACCAAGAGGGAGACATCGTCTCTTCTCCAAGACCCATCAGTGTCCTAGTGGGTAAACTGGGGAAGGAGACACACTGGATTTCACCCTGAGCCATTTTAGTGCCCCCTCTGTCAAACGTAGTGATGATTCTCCAAAACTATAACGTACAACTGATTATTACATTAAAATTATTTATTTAACGTCCTAAAACATTAAATTCTCAAGCATTTTATTCTTTTCGACTCAAATTAAACATAGATATATATGTTGCTTTGAAACTGAACAAGTAATTAAATAAATAAACCAGGTAATGGCCGGTGCAGAAAACAACAGCATCCAAAAAAACATTTTATTGTCCAAAATACAACAAATACCCAAAATGAGCTAATTCTACGAGATTCTGCATTTTAGACAGGATTCCATTTTGTGCACATTTCATGATTCCGTTTGCATTTTCTGCAATGTGGAAATCTATAGGGCCCTACATAGCTCAGTCCTATTTTAATTTTTTTTACACACCTGGGAAATTATTCCATGAACTCCTTGTAATATACTCGTGATGGCTGGTTCTGGTCCCTCTGTCCCCCCCATCCCCCC